AAGCTCAAAACTCGAATTCAACCTTCCAAAACCCATCTCTTAGGCCCCAAAATTTGAGATAACATAATAAACTTGCAAAATATGATGAATTAAGGATCATTTCATAAAACCATGGCCCAAGAGTTTGCCAAAAGTTCACAATTCATCTTGAAACTCAAGAAGCAAAACATGCATGCAAAATCTTTCAAGCTCTTTTCTTCTAAATTCATGAAACAAGCAAATTGAGCTCATAAGCTCCATGCATGTAGGAAATTCCTTCTCAAAACATGTATTCAAGTGATTAAACATGGTAATTCTAACATGCATGTACCAAATAACTTACCATAATAACTTAGATGCTCAAAATCAAATTTAACATGTCAAAACTCCATATATTCATGCATGTATGTGGATTTCTCATCCAAATTCTCTATCAAGACCTCAAAACATGGGATTGACTTACCAAACTTGATGAAACTCATAGCTAACATGGTAAATTAACACCTACATGGGCATGTATGTAAGAATTGTAACCCAATTCCTTATTCTAAGCTCAAAGTACACATTTAAACTCATAATCTTCATGTTAATAACTTAGATTCATAAATTAGGGGTTGAATTCATACCTATAGTCTTGAATTAACTAGATTCTTGCACAAAATTGGTGAACTCAAGCAAAATCCTCAACTCTACCCTGAATTTCTTCTTCCCTCTCTCTAGAATTGCACTATCTCTCTCTCTAAAATAAATTCTCAGATTTTGGTACTAAGAGGTAAAAGAATTGAGCCCAAAAATGAGCTTAAGGCTCATATATATAGTCAAGATGCCATAATACATTAATTAGCACATAAGGCTTGCCAAACGTAACTTAATGAATCGTTCTGAATCAATTTTTAATAAAATTTGCTACATGGTTCTAAAAATTCCGAATAACATATTCATGTAACTAATTTCGATTTCGGATGCCAATAAGGCTTTCAATTTTCATATTAAAGCGGATTTCATAACAGATATTACTTCAAGTAACAGATAGAAAGCCAAGTGACTTACAAAATACATGATAAACACATGGTTTATTTTAATCCCCTTATTAGCATCTTTAATTACGGATTAGTAGTTAATTACGGATCAAGGTTGTTACACTAGCTAAGCAATGTGGGACAAGCTTTCATTCCTTCAATTTTGGAAAACTCACCAAAACACCATTTTCATGGAGCTTACTTTGGCTTCAATTTTCCATTCACCCGATAATGGTTTTGAACAACCAAATATACAACGCGAATCACAACGCGACATAAAATGCGTTACCACCAATACCCGCTAACCTCGACGCATGGGTTCCACTTAAAAAATAGACCAAAGTTTAATAAAAAACTATTTTTGCCAAAACTATTCTTACAATCTCCCCACATGAATGGAATTTGATGACAACAGAAATATAACAACATGCAAAATTTGTCGAGAGAGTATAAATCGAAAATATCTTGCATCAGGATAGGTAGATTTCGCCCTTGAACCTTCTCTAGTGATAACTTATCAGACTTACTAGCTAACCAATGGGCGCGATACCTTGAATTGTTTATCCATTAGTATAAGCTATGACAACAGATTTCACATAAAATATCTGCTGACACATCATGGTTCTCATGGTTGTGTTCATTTTGGTCCTGAACATTCCTGGTTATTCATGAGTGCTCTAGAGAATTTAGCCTCTTTATTCTCAGAAAGCCGGCCCCAGTTCGACACTCATATAGGTAATTCTTATTGAGAGTATCACTTATACTCATCTTGACTTTTTATTCCTAAGTCAAGATATAAGTAATCATTAAAAGAAAAGTTTACCCTTAATCCCTTGCATACAACACATGTTGCAGATATTACTCTCATCATAGGAATGGATAAGGAATTTAATCCTTTAGTGATTTTTGATAAGCCACACATAACTTAGTTGTCCCTTTGAACTTAGTTCTTGGGATCTCCACTCATTTAAGTAGGGTTACTATTATGATGATTTTTATGTAATAGGCTTTAATCCCATCCTCTTCGATGAACTATGCACTTGTTCTTTTGCCAAACCTTTCGTTAACGGATCCACAATATTCTTCTTAAATTTTATATAATCTATTGAGATTATTCCACTTGAGAGCAATTGTCTCATGGTATTATGTCGACGACAAATATGTCGTGACTTACCATGATACATATAACTTTGTGCCCTACCTATTACAGATTGACTATCATAATGAATGCAACTAGCTGGCATAGGTTTTGACCACATTGGAATGTCTTTTAAGAAATGGTGAAGCCATTTTGCTTCTTCTCCTGCTTTGTCTAAAGCAATGAACTGATCATGCGATGCATGTTTGTTTTGTGGATTTCCAAGAAACAGCAGTGCCTCCCAAAGTAAAGACATATCCACTAGTGGATTTTGTATCTTTAGTATTGGATATCCAATTGGCTTCACAATAACCTTCCAGTACTACAGAATATCGAGTAAAGTTCAAACTATGATCACAAGTAAATCTTAGATATCTAAGAACCCGAATGATCGCTTTCTAATGATCTTCTCCGATATTAGTAGTGTACATTCTCAATTTACTGACAGCATAAGCTATATCAAGACACGTGCAATTCATTAGGTACATTAGGCTTCCAATGATTTGGGAGTATTTTAACTGAGACACCACATCACCTTTATGTTTTGATAAATAAAAACTGATGTCTACGGGTGTTCTTGCTACTTTCACATCATCCTTGATATATTTACCAAGAATTTTCTCAATATAATGAGATTGTGATAATACATATTCATCAGATGTTTTAGTAATTTTCATTCCTAATATAACATCTGCGACTCCCATATCTTTCATATAAAATCTTTTGTTCTGCATTTTCTTGGTTGATTTGATCATGGTTTGACTACTTCCAATGATGAGCATGTCATCTACATAAAGACAAACGATGGCATAACTTTTGTCAATGTTTTTAATATAGACGCATTTGTCACATTCGTTTATGTTGGAACCATTAGTTAGCATAGCATGATCAAATTTCCCATGCCATTGCTTAGAAGCTTGTTTTAATCCATAGAGAGATTTTACAAGTTGAGACGCTTTCTTTTCTTTTCCTAGTACTACAAACCCTTCGGGTTGTTACATGTAGATTTCTTCATGTAAATCCCCATTTAAGAAAGCTATCTTCACATCCGTTTGATGTATCTTAAGATCATATAATGCTGCTATAGCAATAAGCATGCAAATGGATGTAACACTTGTTACTGGTGAGTAGGTGTCAAAATAGTTCAGACCTTCCTTTCGTCAATAACCTTTAATCACAAGTCTTTCTTTATACTTGTATATTGAACTATTTACTTTCATTTTCCTCTTAAATATTCATTTATACCCAAAAGGTTTAGAACCGAGTAGAAGATCCACCAATTCCCAAGTATGATTTTGCATAATGGATTCAATTTCACTATTAACAGCCTCTTTCCATAAAAGGTGCTTCAGGACCTAACATTGCTTCTTTAAAGCTCTGAGGCTCATTTTCTAACAGGTATGTTAGAAAATCTGGACCAAAGGATTTTGATGTTCTCGTTCTCTACTTCGTCTTGGTTCATCATCAGTTAAATCCTGTTGGTCGAGACCATTACTAGTCTTTTGCATTTGATTGTCACTAGTCTCTTGACTTTGTGTACAATCATAAGTTCTTTTCTGTGAACTTAATTCCTGTCTTTTTTGGTAAGGAAAAGCGTGTTCAAAGAAAACAACATTCATTGACTCTGTAATAGTGTTCACATGTATATCAGGTATTTCTGACTTATAAGTCAGAAACCGATATGCACTACTATTATGCGCATAACCAATAAACACACAACCCACTATTTTTTGTCCTATCTTAGTATTTTTTGGAACAAGAACTTCTACCTTTTCCAAACACCCCCACACTTTTAAGTATTTGTAGAAAGGTGGTCGACCTTTCTATATTTCATAAAGAGTGCTGTTAGTTTTCTTACGGGGTATTCTGTTAAGAACATAATTAGCAGACAATATTGCTTCCCCCCCACACGTTTTGTGGTAAGCTTGAACTTAGTAACATGGAATTCATCATTTCTTTAAGGGTTCTATTCTTTCTTTCAGCAATTCAATTTTGCTGTAGAGAATAGGGTGTTGTATTTTGATGATTCCACATAATGCATTTCAGGAGCATCTTCTGTAGGATCTGCTGATTCAATCCGTAATTTATTTATCTGCCATATAACAAGTAAAATGGAACTCAATCTAGAGCAATTTTGAGATGAATTTAATGATGCTACCCTGAGACACATGACACACTCACAAGACATGAAAAAAGAAGAAGCTTTAGAAATTGCCAATTAATTGGTTTCACACACATCCGGAAGTGTGCACAGGATTACACACCCAGACCCATTAAAGAATCTCCTAACTTTCTCATTAAACATTGGTGACATTTCTATCTAAATAGAACAGAAGTACCAAAACCTTTGCGACAAGGCGTTAGTGAGTTGAGTTTCCTCAAATTACCAGTACCAGAACCTGGTAACAGTAAGTAACGCAATAAAATTGTATCATTTTATTTTTTGTGATTTTTTGAGAATATATTATCTGATGAATTTGTAGCTTTTCTTATTTCTTTAATCACATATTCAAGCATGCCCTTTTTAACAAACAATTTGAAGTTTGGACAGTGCATAAAAACATGAGATGGAGGTAAATAGCAATTGCAAAATTAGCATGAGACAGGAACTGCAACAGCAAAGGTGATATCAAGAATGTGTTTTACCACTCATTTATGTTTATTGGCCTTGATCCTAAGAAAGAGTCTCCATAAATCCAAAGATTTGTGGTCTTTATATTTTGTTTCAGTATTTTCAGAGAATAAGAGAAAACATGAACCGGCAAAACAACAAAATGCTAAGAAAGAAACAAAACTGAGAAACAATTTCTTTTACATCCCAGAATATGCAAATAAGAATAATATAGATTCCAAAGTCATACATAGCTCAAAAACTGGAAAGCCATGTGAATCCCGTGATGTTCCTTAATTTAAATAAAAAGACGTATGATCTGCAAAACAGAGTCATGATAACAATTTTCATTAGCATCACAATAAATTTATGGAATAAGTGGACAAAACACAAAGCACAAAAGCTGCTTACAATGATTTCGTTTGTAAGATAGATCATGAGGTGTTGCAACAAAACTTTTAAAAAAATAAATAATGGATACCAAATAACAGATCTACTGACACGTTTTAAAAAGTCCTTAGAATTTACTTCTACGACTCTCAGTTAGGCCAACCTACACCTGAAACATTACTCAGCATAAATAAAAAGTCCGCTAAACCTTAGGTCTAACTTAACTGACTGCAGTTCAAATACCTTATCCCTATCTCGCCTCTTTCTATGATTGTGCTTTTCTACAATACAATTGAAAAACACAAATATAACATAAAAAATAATTAAAAGCTTCATTTCATATTGGGAAAAAGATCAGCCAAACTTCAAGTTCAGGCCACTATGACCAAGTTCAAATTAGGCTCCACCAATAAATTTCAGGATGGGCGGGCAGTCAGGTGGCAGCTAAGCCCAATTAAATAACTGGAGGACTAGTAGCAACCTCTTGTTTACAAATATATACAACGGCATGTGATATCAGTCACCTCCAGCATTACTGGTTTGCAAAATAAGGCAGAACAATCCCTTAAAATTAATGTAACGCCCTCAAAATAATAACATCACACCCGTCAAATAAGACATTCATTGACATAAGAAATAACCACAATCTTCTATTCATCAGAGTTTCATTACAAACGTACTACATGTTAACAACAAAAGCAAATGCCCTATGGGCTTACAGCTTTCCAAGTTAACACTTGGTTACAACAAAAGAGTGCTAACTCATTTACACATTAAGCCCTTGGCTTGAATTTACATTTAATACATCAAAATAAACAAAACGACAAAAGTATGTCCGCCTCTAGCCTCCCAAGCTATGTCCTTGGAGGTGGCATGCTACCTGTACCTGAAAATGATATTCCCATATAGGGTGAGCCACAACCCAGTAGAAATACACTAAACCAACCATGAACAATGACTAAAAGATTAGCAACTGATAGACGGTCAACACTGACACTTCCATTTACATCTCCCTACGTTACCATGACAGCCAAGTCTATATTACAATTCACTTTTCATTTTTGTTCAACTTTGAGTTTGAAAACAAGGCTCAGTACTCTGGCCAGAACGTTTGATGAGATTATAGTTCATCACTAGAACACTTTCGAAATCCAAGGTGGATACACATTATGGTGTTGTACCAATAACACATAAACTACTCCCATACTTCACAAACAATGATGACTTACATTTGAATGCTATATCAAATCAAACAAACTTTTCAATAGATAAGCATATGAGCTATATCACTACTACAACAGATAAACATATGAGCTGTATCAACACTTCAACCGATAAGCATATGAGCTGTATCAACATTCCGATAGATAAGCATATGAGCTGTATCAACATTCCGATAGATAAGCATATGAGCTGTATCAACATTCCGATAGATAAGCATATGAGCTGTATCAACATTCCGATAGATAAGCATATGAGCTGTATCAACATTCCGATAGATAAGCATATGAGCTGTATCAACATTCCGATAGATAAGCATATGAGCTGTATCAACATTCCGATAGATAAGCATATGAGCTGTATCAACATTCCGATAGATAAGCATATGAGCTGTATCAACATTCCGATAGATAAGCATATGAGCTGTATCAACATTCCGATAGATAAGCATATGAGCTGTATCAACATTCCGATAGATAAGCATATGAGCTGTATCAACATTCCGATAGATAAGCATATGAGCTGTATCAACATTCCGATAGATAAGCATATGAGCTGTATCAACATTCCGATAGATAAGCATATGAGCTGTATCAACATTCCGATAGATAAGCATATGAGCTGTATCAACATTCCGATAGATAAGCATATGAGCTGTATCAACATTCCGATAGATAAGCATATGAGCTGTATCAACATTCCGATAGATAAGCATATGAGCTGTATCAACATTCCGATAGATAAGCATATGAGCTGTATCAACATTCCGATAGATAAGCATATGAGCTGTATCAACATTCCGATAGATAAGCATATGAGCTGTATCAACATTCCGATAGATAAGCATATGAGCTGTATCAACATTCCGATAGATAAGCATATGAGCTGTATCAACATTCCGATAGATAAGCATATGAGCTGTATCAACATTCCGATAGATAAGCATATGAGCTGTATCAACATTCCGATAGATAAGCATATGAGCTGTATCAACACTTCAACCGATAAGCAT